CCACTAGAGACCGCGCGGGAGGGGTGGTACGGTGCGCAGCGCTGTGGCTTCTGAATAAATCAAAAATGATTTAACACTGTTGTTTGTACTTTTAGCAGCTCTTTTTATCCCACAGCTGACCTGCTAAAAATGGCAGATTTTCTTTTCTGGATCTCTGACAGACGGACTTCAATCTCTGAACTCGTAAAGTTTTTCTTTTTAATTTTCGCTGTCATTTTCATGAATGGACACTTCCTTGTATCTGAGGTAGGAAACATAGCCTTATATGGTGTTTTTGGGGTGGTAATTATGCTGATCTCTCGCATGCACGAGCAGCTGGATACGAACAGGTGGAATTTATGCAGCTCATTTACACCCTTTTCCTAAAGATAGAAGCGTTTGTTGAATCTGATGTGGCATGTTCACACGAACCCTTCATAYGAACAAAAGAGAAATTTAGGAAAAGAATACGAATATGTTCTTGCATGAGGCCCATTGCTTCTGAGATATAAAAACAAAAATAATGCAGAAATGACAACCTGTCACAGTGTGAACGCATTAAGCAACCGCATCATACTTAGCTGGAAGACACACACTGACATAGTGGCTGCTCGGCATGGTAAACTGTGGCTAATGATGGTTAACTGTGGCTAACGACGGTAAACCTAAACTAGTGGTGTCCAAAGTCGGTCCTCAATGGCCGGTGTCCTGCATGTTTTAGGTGCTGCCCTGGTTCAACACAGCTGAGCCTAAGGAATGCCTTATTAGTAGGCCTCTGCAGACCTTAATGGCAAAATGAGAAGGTATATCATCTATTTGAATCAGCTGTGTTGAAGCAGGGACAAATCTAAAACTTGCAGGAGACAGGCCCTTGAGGATCGGAGTTGGACATGCCTGACCTAAACCATGGCTAACGATGTAAACCGTAGCTAACACTGATAAACCATAGCTAACTATGGTAAACCATAGCTACCGATGGTAAACCTTCCCGTAGCTAATGCTGATAAACCGTAGCTAACGATGGTAAACTATAGCTAACGATGGTAAACAATAGCTAACGATGGTAAACCGTAGCTACCGATGGTAAACCGTAGCTAATGATGGTAAACCGTAGCTACCGATGTTAAACCATAGCTACCGATGGTAAACCATAGCTACCGATGGTAAACCTACCCRTAGCTAATGCTGATAAACCGTAGCTAACGATGGTAAACTATAGCTAATGATGGTAAACCGTAGCTAACGATGGTAAACTGTGGCTAACGATGGTAAACCATAGCTAACAATGGTAAACCATGGCTAACAATGGCAAATCATGGCTAACGATGGTAAACTGTAGCTAAAGATTGTAAACCGTGGCTAAAGATGGTAAGCCATGGCTAAAGATGGTAAACCGTGGCTAAAGATGGTAAACCGTGGCTAACCATGGTAAACTGTAGCTCAAGATTGTAAACCGTAGCTAAAGATGGTCAACCGTAGCTAACAATGGTTAACCTTAGCTAATGATGGTAAATCGTAGCTCACGATGGTAAACCATAGCTAACGATGGTAAACAGTAGCTAAAGATGGTAAACCGTGGCTAACCATGGTAAACCGTAGCTAACCATGGTAAACCGTAGCTAAAGATGATAAACCGTGGCTAACCATGGTAAACCGTAGCTAACCATGGTAAACCGTAGCTAAAGATGGTAAACCGTAGCTAACGATGGTAAACCGTAGCTAATGATGGTAAAGCGTGGCTAACAAGGAGATAAAAGCTTCGTTCTTTAGCTAGGGTAAATGGCTGCTTGTCAAGCTCCACCATTTTCCATCATTAAATTGCTTGAGATCTGCGTCCTCTCTGGCAAATGTTTGGGATTTGTCAAAAGCCTCAGCAATGATTTAAGTCCCGATGAGTTCTTGAATGCTAGCCTGTTGTTGTTAGCATTTTTAGCAGCACGGACTCTGTGCTGCGTTCAGGAGGTAACACGTTACATGTTCTCAATTTGGGAGTAGTTGTTTTGTATGTGTGGCGGCACGGTG